ATATATAATCATACAGATCCAGCATTAAATGAAAGTTAAAAAGTAAAATTTGGAATTTTTTTCCTTTTACTTTAAATGAAAATTATATAGGTTTTTTTAACTATGTGATAATAAATCTCTATCACTATTTTTTATTATTTGATAAAAATTAATAACAAATATTTTCTTTTGCTGCATTAACTAATCGCTTAGAGAATGCTCTCTCTAAATCGAAGTTATAGAAACAATGAGCATTTTATAGAAAAATCAGTTTGTTGGTACACGAGATTAATGTAGTGGTGTTTTCCCTAAAGAAGATGCTTTATCAATTATTTCATACCCCTTAGATAATAGGATTGTACAACCTTATCACATGTAGGGACCATTAACATAGTTGGATTTAAGAAACTTGTGAAAATAAATTTCCATCATGGCTTGGGTGGTGAAATCTGTGTACATTTTGTTTTACACGAATTGTTCTCATAAAGTGCATTTTTTCATTAAAAGAATAAATAATTTATCTCTCACTAGTATTTTCTTTTTGATTTTGAAATTACAAAATTACTGGTTGTGTTTAATAATTGGATCAATTCAAATTGTCGTTGTTAATTGAAAAGTGATAATTTGAACAAAAACATTTTACTTAGGGTATAAAATAATAGAGTTAATTACTTATATAATAGTATAAATTATTTTTATACTGACAATTAATTATATTTTTTAACAGTGTCATATTAATTATTTATTTAATAAAATAAAATAATTTAAAATATTTAATTTGTTATTAATGTAAAAAATTTTACATGTGTATGAATGATTAATTCAAAATAATATCCATAGCATTGAGCGTGAAGACAATATTTAATATTGTAATCCCTCGAGAAATCATTCTCTAGCTTATAACATTATATTATAAAATTGTTTTTGTCTTTCTTTTAAGAACAAAAGAATCTCCATTTTGTTCAAAAGTGGCAGAAAATGCGAAGTGGGGGGACCTGTCCCACAATCACAATTGTTACCATCAAAATTCGTGAACGTTTGCTGTCAACTGTGAGAATGGTAATGATTCATCAAAACTCTTTTATTATTTTAAAGTTTAATTGGTCTAGTTTCATAAATTTTATATTTTAATCTTGTAATTAAAATATTTTATTTTAATTCTTAAACATATTATTTTTATTTTTAGTTTACATTATATATCATTATAAAATTAAAAAGTAAAACATATCAAACTATAGAATTATATATCATTATATATATATTTTTATGATCAAGGAAAAGAAAAATTAAAATATTTTAATTATAAAGACTAGAAATTATAATAACAAGAAAATATGTTAATGAAACTTTATTTACACATTCTATTAAAGTGTATTAAGTCTCTTCGTTTTTTATATCATTAAAAGAATTACGTCAAGCACAAAGAACTTCTTTCTTACAAAATAAGAAACCAAGATTCGAATTTTCTCCGCAAGAAAAGCTTATTGGTATGTTTAGAATTTTGATAATGACATGTTTGGTTACACATTTTTTTAAATATTTTAATAAAATAAATAATTTAATATTTTTTTTTGTGTTTGTTTAAATTATTCTTTTAAATAGTTATTGTGTATTTTTTAAGAAACAACTTCTATATGTTTCTTCAAAAATTATTTTTTAAAACACCCTTTTTAAGTTTAAACAACTTGATCCCATCTTTTTCACAAGTACTTTTTAGAGAAGAAGAAAAATCAATATAAATTTTTGATAAATAAAATTAACTTACAAATAAATTAAATTTTACTTTTTTAAAAAAACTAATACGAAAATTTTCAACAAATTATTTTTTATATAACCCAATATTAATTTAGATTTTTCACTATAAAAGCAAAATGATAAAAAGTTACACTTTCACTATAAATATTTAAATTATTGTGTGTGTGTGAAAACCCATATATTTTAATGGTGATTTTTTCATTATTAAATGATTATAAATTTAAATTTTGAAGTTACTTATAAGTATTTAAATAATAAAAAAATAGCATTATGATTGAAAATGTATGCTTTTAAAATCTAAACACAAAAACATTGTTATTCATGTAAACTCTGAGGCCAAATGATAATTAAATTTTAGAGACTAAAAATTGTATATAAATATAGTGTTCTTAAAATAGTGATTAAATTTTTATTTTTCAATCGAAATTGGACGGATAGTCATTAGTCTAGTCGTTAGCACTCACCAATATATAATCCTATTTTTGGTTAAAACTTTATAGTTATAGTAATTATAATTTTGTGATTATTAGTTTGCATAATACTTGATCTAATGGTTGTGTCGAAAATTGCATGAGTGCGCGTCTTTATTTAAATTCAAATTAAAGTACGTTGGTTTTAGGGACTTGTGTGTTCAATCTTGTATCCATATTTTAATTTGCCAACTAAACTTTCCCGGTGTTCAACCATTACACAGCAAAATTCGAATTTAAAAACTAGAGTTATCAGTGTCGTGAAATAATCATGTGTGTTTCATATAATAATCTGTGTTGAAGATTTCAAATGTAAACGGGATTATCCATACATTAATTAATACGAAGTTTTTTTTATGCATAGTACGCTATTTATATCTTCTTATAAATGAAAGTGACAGGTAGAATTATTCTTTAATAATGTTAAACGTACAAATTAGATAACAATAAAAATGCTTTAATTTTATTAGTAATCTGGAATTTAAGTTTAAAAGAAATTGATTAAAAAAGATTCTTGAACTATGTAAAGAATATAATTTTAGATACTCTTTCTAATTTGACCGAAAAAGCAGCGTATTAGGTTAAAAAAATCATATCCAATAATATATGCCGGCTGTAATAATGCTGTAACGTGTTTTCATTACACCATTTCCTCCTCTTAATAGTATATTATTAATCTGGCTTAATTGTTAATCATTTCAATTATACAATTATGTGATTTTGGTATATATTCTATTCGAATAATTTTAATTTTTTCAAGTGTTAAATATTATAATTGTACAATTTTAATCAAATAATTTTAGTTCTATGATAATTATATGATTTTAGTATGATAAGCTTATTAATTAATATGAGAATAAAAATACGTAGCTTATTAATTAATTTATTCAATTTGAAAAGTTTGAATGTAATGTTTACTCGTAGCATCCGTTCATATGAGATGTGCGTAGTCACATACATGTAACATCACATGTTCATATGATATTCTAAAGTGACGTGAAAGCTTTGCCAAACGCGTTCCATTCTGTTCGTGTTGGCTTGGCTGTAACAATTTTATTTTAATTTAATTTGTTGATTAAATATAAAGATTGTGTGACATTCTTGAAGGAGCAACCACGCTGGTTTTCTTCTTCACGTTGCAGCCACTCATGCTTCCTATTTCTAAGTAATAGGTTTGTTTCTATGCTTTTCAGCTGTCTAAAGCCAAACATAAATTTTATGGTCTACATGAAACTATGAAACTAGTTCGATAAGTTTTATTACTAAATTATACATTGCTATTCTTTTAAACCTAAACCCACTCATTAACATAGCATTGCATTTCCCAACCTTGTTCCTCTTGCTAAAGAAACCCATGTTTGCAAAAACAAAAACAAAAAGCTCACGCATCTGTATTTTTTCTTTTCGAGTTACTGTAGATGATATGCCTCTTCTTTCTTATTAAAGTCTGGATAATCTTATCTGGAAATACTTTAAAGAATAAAGAATAAAATAAAATAATCTTCTTAAGCTACAATTAGATTTTGCTTACATTAATTTGTATCAACCCTTTTCAACTAATTTTTCTAAAACTTTATTTTTAACTTGAGCATAAATTTATTTTTGTTTATTAAAATAAGCTCATTTTAACTTTTTCTTATTTTCATTCTGAAAAAGTTTTATCCAAACATACCCTTATTCTTTGATTAATTTTAAATTACTAATTCTTGTCTCATCTTAAAACACTATAAATTTAAAAACCGGCAAGTCGTAACAAATATGAGCTCTTTTGTTTAGAAAACACATGTATAGTGTACTTGTGAATATTTTCGTGGACAATCTTTTGATATATATTTCAATCAGGAAGGGTCCTACATTAGGAACTTGTGACTGTTGTCATTGTGGAGAAAAGGAAATGACGATGAAGTATGAACCTTAAACTTATCCCATGCTTTTCTCACTTGAGTAATAGTTTGGCATTACCATACATCAATAACAACAAGCAGTCATCCAACTAACAGATCACAAAGACCGAATGAAACCTCATTGAACTACTCCAGAAAGTTTCCCATCTATACCCTGTCAAGAACTTATATACCATAATTCAAACATAAGTTGCACACAGTGTGCAAAAAAAAATAATGGAAGGAGGAACGAACAATCTGAATTCTGAACAAAGTTCATCACAATCAACATCTAGATATAAAAGTAGCATGACATTAAAGGCACTCTGTTCTATATTCAGCATAGATTGGTATTGCAACTTAGAAAGAGATGAGATCATCTTTCGAAGATTGCTGCTTCTTTGTATCATGTCCCCCATCCGATGCATCCCCGCTTTTTCTTCCAAAAATCATCTCATCAAGATCATCCATCATGTCGTCGTTGCTCCCTCCATGGGCACCAGGTCTTGATCCAGCTGGCTTTCTAATCAAAGCATCTTCTTTAGTATGGCGGGGTGACTCATCTGGCTCAACAGCAACAGGTATCATAGCTGGTTCAGGTTGAAGTGGAGCAGATGCAGGCTGCTTCAACTCTTCGTACTTGGTGAGAACCTTCTGAATCTCATCGTTAACATTCAAGGCCTCGAAAAGCAGTGCTTCATTATCACCAGCAGTTTCAACAATTCGCTGGACAGTGGTTTGTGACCGACGACACTGCTGTACAAGTGTGGTGGTCAAATCATCCTGCAGGTGGAAGAAAGGGTCACATTTGTATTTCTGGAATTCACCGATGCTTAATACAATATGCTTCTTCGCTGGCAAGGAACTGTCACATGGCTAAAACTGGCATTCCTTGTTTGGGGAACTTGCATGGGAATAAAGCAAAGAAAGGCTCAAACGATTTTCCACAATTCTGTTTTCTTTCCTTTCTCAAGAGGCAGGGGTGGGTTGAATGCACATATATAGCACATGGCCATATTCACATTAGCAGTTAACAATGCACCACACCAAATGGAAATTAACTTGTTTTTACATAACACTCTCCAAAATTAAACATATTAAGATAAGCTCTTGCTTGGGTGCTGCCCGTTTAGATAAATGGAGAATAAACAGCATATCTCACCTCCATACCCATCAAACAGAATAAATCCGTAACTCAAACAATACCAATCGTTGCATTATCGTGGCCAAGGGGAAAAAAAAATCTCATTACCAGACACTAGAGATGTGCTTGTTATCAATAAAGAAACCTATACCAAGCATCAGTGGCTCAACTTTCTTTGAAGAGAATATCAGAATTTAAAAAAGCTGATCAAATTTGATACACAATAAGATTTCCCCCTTTCATATAGTGAAATGTGAAATATTTTCGTAGATCTCCTAAATGATACCATTAACAGTCCAGGCATACCATCATAAAAGATAAAACTTACGCGGAAACTTAACAATGTGGTTTATATAATCTTTTCTAAGCACAAAACTGTGATGACAACTCAAATTCTGGTGTACACGGAATAAAATGCAAGACAAAAGGTCAATGCAACATGCAGACTGTCAGTTACAAAAACAAAATAAGTTCAATCCATCCACAAATATCACACAACAGTCCAAACATACACCACTTATTGTCAAAATCAAAATGAGACCACCAAAAAGACAAGTTTTAAAAATTGCAATTAATAGTAGCATTGTACCACAACCACAACATACCTGTAAAGCATCTTGTTGCGGTGAAGATGACAACACAGTGGAAAGAAGCTCAATGCTATTCCTTGCAACATCAAAGGCTTCCTTTGTCTGTTCAGGCGTAAAACTCTGCTCAGGAATATCATGCTGAAACTGGTGTTGAAGATTGACATCAACCTCCTGAGCAGAGACGGAACGAGGCGGAGTAAAAATGGGAGCCAAGCTCTCATTGTCACGACCAGGAAACCGAATACCCCTCGATTTCAGACTCTGAACAACCATAAAAACAACTGATCAAAAAAATTCAAATTCAAGAGAGTTGATTAAGCTAAAACAACCTTTTATTGTATCTAAGCTAGAACAACCACATGAACACTATGAGTGGAACAAGAATGAATGAATTAAAAAAGAAAAGAGAGACCTTGTAAGTTTCCTCATAAACAGGGAGATAGCGCAACTCGCCGGTGGATTCACCCCAGGCCTCGATCATCATCAAGGCCTTGTTGCGGTTATTGACGACAGTGTGGGGATCGTCGATGAGTCTAACGATCTCGTCGAGGACTCGCTCGGCGGCGACCTCGGAGAAGGCCTTCTCGCAGTTCTTGACGCAGGTCTCGAGGAGGAGGAGCGCCAGGTACTGAACCCTAGGGCTCTTGGTCATGATGCGCTTCTTGATTCCGCGGATGAGTTCGACGCTGTTGAGCTTGTCCGTGTTGATGAGGTCGCACAGATCCAGATTGAGGGCCCAATCGGGCTCGTCTAGGGCCTCCGAGGTGGCGTCCTCCACCAGCTTGTCGGCCTGGTTGGGCCCCTGGAAGAACTCCCGCACCTTGAAGCTCATCGAACTCATCCCCTCACTCATCTTTCGCCCCACTTCCGACCCTCCAATCTTCAGACGCTCCCCCAGGGCACTCACTTTCTCCATCAAATTCTCGCTCATTTTTTCCAAAACCCACAACGGAAACAAACTACACTACCCTTAGTCCCTTACCCAACCCAACGCGTAAAAAGTCTTCGCCTCACTCTCTCTCCATTCCCCAACCAATTATACTCACGTTCACGTCAGATATTTTTTATTAACTTATTTAACAGATTAACTCGCTACTCTTTCTTTCCTCATTATTACTTTGCGTGTACCTGAAGCAGCGATGCAAAGCCAATATATGCATTTTCATTTCATTACACAAATTACTTGGTTGTTGCACTATCAACACCCACACTGCATTTTTCACATTCAAAATATTTATAATAAAAAAATACGTCTAATTTAATTTTTATGATAAATATATATATATATATATATATGTTTACAGGTTTTATTAAACCAACTTGCAGTATTTTCATGGGTTTATAATTTTGTAAATTTTTTAAATTCAAAAGTGCATGTTGCCTTTGTCCTTTTATTAAGAAAATGCAATTTTTACAACATTATTATTTACTACCATTTTCCTTTACTTTCTAACACACAAAATATTTTTCAAATAGTATTAAAATAATGAATCATTGACACATGAATTAACTGATATAAGATTAATCCACTTCAACGGATTATCATAAATTTGAGTATTTATATGTGGTTGTGTTATATATTTAGAAAGAAAAAAAAGTTATCTCTAATAAAAATATATATGATTTTTTTTATACCAAAATACTAAATTAGAAATAGAACAAAAGTTGTTCAAAAAGAAATTTAATAGAGAAAAAAATTCAAAATCATGCATAAGCTAGATTTTTTTTAATTTTTTTTTTTACCAAGATACTAAATTAGAAAGAGAACAAAAGTTGTTCAAAAAAGGAATTTAATAAAGAAAAAAAAATTCAAAGCCATGCATAAGCTAGTGAGTTAGCTAAGCTTAGGGTTTACAACTTTTCACCAAATCAAATTTAGGCTTTAACCTTAACTAATTTCAATAAACAACTTCTTTCTTTTTTTTAACGTAAGCTTGAACTTTCGGTGTTTGATTCAACACCCTTATGTAACATTTAATACATGTATATTGTTTTAACATTTTTTAAGAAACAGACAAGAAAATAAAAGTTTCTATTATTTGGTATCAATACTTATACATAAAATTAATTATATCCTTTTGTGTATAAAATTGTTATGTTATTTTATTTTTATAAAAGTTATTAGTAAAGAAAATAGATACTTTATATCTCTTAAATTTTTTAAAATTAAGATAAAAGAAAAAGAGATAGTGAAATAAATGATTGTGGATGATTATTAAAATATATATATAAGGTTTTTTTAAATATCTAAGAGATACAATACTTTACTAAAAAATAGAGAGAGAAAAAAAAACAGATAAACTCCTTTATTAATTATTAAAGGAGTGTCTCTCGATATATATATTTTTCCATATACAAATAAAATAAGAGAAAAAAAGGTAAAGATTAAATATAAATATCTCGTCTGAGAAGTTGAAACTGAATATAGCAAGTAAATTAGCACAATTAATTAAGGGTAAAAGAATCTTAAAAAAATGCAAGACAAATTCAATATGTAGTATTTATTAATTACCAGAGGGTAAGAGACACTAAGTCTAAGTGTCTCTATATATTTGTTTAAAAAAAATATTTTCTCGTGTAAATATAAAGAAGTTCACTTTATAGTTGAGTGATTAAGGAATAAAGAAAAAAAAAAGTAGCTACATTTTCTTCGTAAGTGAGTTATGTTATTCGGTTCATTAAAGAGTATAATTGTTTTAAAACAAATGAAATAAAGAGGGATATCCTATATATTATAGAATTATAGATCATAAATTATCTATATTATAGTCATCCTTACCACGATTGATATTGTTACGCCATCACTTTAATCAACACATTTTTTTAACTCAGTTAGTCATACTTTTGAAAAAAAAAATCTTTAAAATACTTTTTAAACCCAAATATTGGAATAATAGTTTGTTGGAAAGAAACATATTATGATATATAGTGGTCTTATTAAACTCAAATAAAATATGTGATCTCGTAAAGAAAAAACAATTCATTAGATAGTTAAGGAATAACCAAAATGTTTGTCAAAAATTCTAAAAAAATCTTATTGAAAGTGGTTTAGTTAAGAATGAAAGATTTCTTACACCAAATGTTACTTTAATGAGGAATAAATGATTTCTTATTCTAATTGAAAATATAGGGACAAAAAGACTCTTATTTCATACATCAGAGTCACGAATAAAAACACAATCAAGTCATTAAATTATATATATGTAGCATATGGAGTAGTTCATCTGAATATTGTTTTTGTTTGTAATGTTAATCTAGGGGATCTACTTCTTGCGGGAACTGATACAACTTCTTACCATTTGGAAATGGATAACAGCTGAGCTACTTCACAACCCAAATACCATGTCCAAAGCCCAGAAAAGTTGAAGAAATTGATTGAATAGGTAAACCACTTAAAAACCTGGTATGACACACACCATAGGACAAGAACATGGACGATACCCAAGGGAAATGCCTTCAGAAAAAGCCAACCCTTGCTAGTTGTTCCGATCAAAATAAGTAACCTATTTATTGGTATGGTAATATTGCAGTTCCCATATTTATTTTTTAAGTCTTTCCATAATAATAGTACCTTTTGTGGCTGAAATACTACAATTAGCAGGATGGCATAATGAACTAGTCCAGCTTGTTATGCCTGCCTCGCAGCCAGCCCACTAAAAACGGGCTTAATTGGGCCAATTCACTAACCCCCCAAAAATAAGTCAGGCTGGACGCATTGGCCCCCATTTAAAGATGGGTTGGTAGACAGGTGAGTTAGCATGCAAAAAAATAATAATAAAAAAGAAAAATGCACATTTATTCTGACCACTTCTTCCATCAATTTTTTTTCAGTATATTAACGATCTATATAAATCAATATACCTATATAATAAAATAAATTTTAAATTACAATAAATTTAATTGATTTGCTACAAACAAATTTCAAATTTATTACACAATAAAATAGATGTCATTATAATATTTTTTCAACAAATTTAATACACAAAAAAAACTTAAATTACATATAATAAAATGAATCAAAGTATTTAAACTTAACATTAAAAAAATTATATAAATATATATATAATAAACAAGCCAATCCATCCTAATTTGTAATTTGACCTGACAACTAGTGGATTAAAATGTCTAACTCAACCCGCCACTTGTTGGCTGGCCAACAGCTGTGTTGCCAGTCCGGACCTATTTTGTCATCACTACTTTCAAATGATATTTTCTACTAATACAAAGGTTTTTAGGAGAGGTTACTTTGCATTGTTTATAAACTTTTGTCACTAATTTGCACATATTAGAGACTGATTTGCATATTAACATTCAGGGAAACAATATACACTTTTCCCCATTTTTATTTAATTGGGTTAAACTCGTACTTCAGTAAGCAGTAGTAATTCATTCACCAGCAATTCAAGTGTTAACAAAAACTATAAAAGCTGAAGATAAGTCACGAAGCACACCCCCACAAGCAGCATGAGAAAAGGGAGTAAAGAGTTGAAAAGAAATATACTGTTGATGGGGGATATATGAACTTTCGTAAACTTTATGTTTTAAAGCTCCCTATAACAAACAGAACACACGACATGACAACAAGATAAAGGCACTGATCGAGTTGCTGGATGATATTTGTCAGGTTTCTTTGTATATGTAAGATGGCTTTGACTTCCCTGCAGCAAAGGACCTCAACCTGTGTAGGAATCATGAACAAAAGAGCGTTGGAAACTAAAACATTACACTCCCCGACTTCATCTACTCTCCCCCAATAATATCCAACCATCTTGAATTGAGAGATATACCAATGCATGAATGAAATGTTAAGATCAAAGAAAGGAAGCATATAGTTGTCATTCTTGATACTATATATTATAGTTATATCAAGGGAGAACTGAAAGTAAATTCCCGCTTCCACGCTTGCAACTTGTTGTAAGCAGTAACACAATTCAGAAGCACATATGTAATGAATTTCTATCTTAGTAATATGTATGTTCACAATACATTATTTTGTAGATATTCACTGTAATTGTTCTAAACATTCCTGTTTTACTGCCTCATTTTTCTCTCTCTTTAATGGCAGCAACTGTGTATAATGATTGATGGCAATGACAGGAGAATTTACACTTGTTTTAGTTCAGGAAACTATGAGAACCAGTATGGTGATAATAATGTATAAGTGAGAGGCTGCAAGCTAAAATGTTTACCTTCAGTTGCAAGAAACGTAGATACACAATTAGGACTCCGATGTAAGAAGTCCCATCTGTTGTGTAAGATGGTCAACATGCTGTATCTTATCAATTTTTTCCTGCTTATTTTCCCTTTCTGAAGGCAAACCCTGATCTTCCGGTAAACCACATCCTAGAGAGCTACATTTAGTTTCCTGTGTGTCTCCTGTAATTGGGCTTGGCCTGAAAAACAGTTCCCAGAATTCATCGTTGATTCCGGGAAGTTTAGATAATCCATCAGCATCAGGTGAAAAATGATCAGCTTCTGCGGCATGTACATCATCTAAAACAGTTGACACCATATCTATCTCCCCCATGTTCCTAGTGTCAGCCCCACCAACACTCAGATCATGGTTCACTAAGCTGCTTTCTGTCTCCATCCCTTGACTATTACAAAAACCCATAAGAGCAGGTGAGGATTGCACCTCAGACATGCTACTGGGCATACAATTTATAGGAAACTGGGATTCTGCTTCCATACAGGTCAGCTCAGAAACCGGTGGAACCATAGAAAGGGTCACATTAGAAACCTGGGTGGATGAACTACTGCTATCAAATGAAATGGAAGAAGGAACATCATCAATAAGGAAAACATCAGGGTTCTTAATTGAAGATTCTGCTGTTGTAGAATTGTTTATTTGCAATATCTGGCGAAATAATGCATTAGCAGCCTCATTTATGGAACTCTGGTACTTGACAATATGTCCATCAAGAGAATCATGGAGATCCTTTGTTGCTAAACTATCTTCTTCTTGCCTGTGGAGCCTCCTCTTTTTATTTACCCCAGGGATATGTCTATTACTCTCATTCTGCTGCTGTACAAATTGAGCTAAGAAGCTTGGGCTATGCATGGCCTTTGCCAGAAATGACATCATTTGCTGCTGACGCTGCTCCATTGACTGCACACGTTGCCCAACATTTTGCAATTGGTTATCTGTCACTAGCTGTTTCTGTCTCAACCTAACAAGTTCCTGCATAAGAATGTTCTTATCCCTTTTCAGTATTTCCACCTCTTCCTCAAGCCCAAATTTCCCCACTTCAACACATGATTGTACAGATGACTTGTGAACTTGAGACGGTTGTTGACTACCATTTACATGAGTAGATTTCCGCCTACTGATACTTTTTAGAAGTTGTTTTTCACCTCTTAAAAATCCTTCATTTGCAAATTCCCAACGATCTGGGTCAACCTTTCTAAAACCCTAATTGTCAATCAACAGAAAAACATTGTCAGTAGGCAGAAAACTGTATAACTAATCCAGATTGATTAAAACTACATGTAAACATAATGCTAAAAATGCATGAAGGAGAGATGGCACGTTAAACAATATTCTCTGAGAGTGTACAAGATGCAAGTAAATTTTCTTAGATTACAATAGACTGTGATGATTAACTAAATTCATTGAAGAGTGACAACCAGGCGGCCCATATTTACCATAACCTATGATCATATTACTTTGTCGCAACAATTTCCCTACCGCATAAACCCAA